CGCCGGGCCGGTTCACGAGCCCGCGGAGGGGCCCGGAACCGCCCCCGGCCCGTCGCCCGCTCAGCAATGCTCGCGTTCGAGCTGCTGGCTCCTGCCGCGGTTTTGTTCCGAAGGACTGAGGGCGGTTTCAGTCAGATGCTGAAGAGGAATTGTTGAGTCTGAAGACAGCAGAGCCAAAGACAAAGCAAGAAGAGCAAAAGAACCTGAACTCATTTCAAAAGAAAATCCTTTGTTTGTCAAAGGGTCTTTTAAGAGTGAAAAGAAATTAGGGGAAACTTCCTTTTTAAGTCTGACATTGAATGTAGTTTTTTTTTTTCTCTGTTAGTATAGGCTTAAAAAAATAGGGAGAAGTAGGCTGATGAAATATCTCTTTCCTAATTTTTTAATATTCAAGGTCAGTTTGGTGCTTCTTATAAAAAAACTAAATACAAACTTGAGTGCCTACCTGAATTTATAGTGAACTCTGCTGTTTCTTGTCATAGTTCTCACTTGAGCTCTCATGAGAAAATATAGTTTCATTTCACCATCTCTAGAATTACACAGTGAAGAAGATGGCACACTGCAACAAATTAATGGGAAACTGATCACAGATGTTGACATTTTTCTGAATAGAAGTGTTTGTTGTACAAATAAAACCTCCCTAAATGTCCCTTATCTGACAAAAAGCCTGTCCCACTTAGATAGTTAAATAAACAAACAACACCCCACGTGCTGTATTTTACCCTTACAGCTAGCTGAAGTAATCCCTGAAGAAGCAGCTCAGCTCAGTGTCCAGAAGCAAGTTTAATTTAGTTTAAAGGAGCAAGGTTAATGTTTTACTAAATAGTTCAAGTAGTATTTTGGTACATGGAGAACACCATAAAGCCAAACCAGAAGTGTACCCTGTGTAGCGTTCCTATGGCAACAGTTATGTGAAGTTACATAAAGTAACATGACAAAAAAACCACACACCTTCGGGAGGGAAACCAGCTCTTCATGGAAGAACACTCACAGCTGTAGCACACTTCACTAAAACAATCTGTTTTGCTGTTGAAGGTTTTTCTCTCTCAAAATTTAAACCTGACAATTTAAATTAGTGTGCGTAAAGGTGATGGGAAGAGGACTTTTACTTAAAAGAGTAGTTATAACAGGCTGTGAAGTTGAACCTTAATCTCAGAAAAGAACCCTGACAACGAAAACCAATTCCATACAATGGTATAATTTCACACTTTATTTCTGAGAAAATCTTCAGATTTAACAACAGGTCTTAACGATAAATGCAAAAATTAATATTGCAGTGGATTTACATAGAACATCACATTTTTAACAATGATTGATAAAGAGTATGTCATGCAAATCACCTGTGTACACCAAGTAATACTTCTATCAATACATATCTGTACAGTATTTACATTTTATATTTAAACTCTAGCTAGAAACATTTTTCCAAGAAAATACAGAAATGAAACTGGTAAGCCACAAGTCTTCATTTGTAGCAAATGGTCTACAACAGACCTAGCTTTTCCAGCAAGCATATCTACATAGATATGTAATAAATCTTAAAAATATGCATTGTTTTTATAGATGAAGCATTATAAATGCTGCTCAGTTTACAAAGGTTCAGTTCTGTACCCCTTTAAAATGGTTCAAAATGTTAAGTGATGCAGAGCTTATTTTGTCAGAATATTGTAAATCTAAGTCAGTCCAGCTGAGCTTAAGTATTATGTACAGTTCTCTCCCTCAACTGCACTGGCAACGTGGCTGCTCTAAGTGGCCAAATGGTTTAGACACTGAGCAAAGCCATGAGCATGGCAGCAGCAGTGGCTCCTGCAGCTGTCAAGGTTAATGTAAAAAACAAAGAGGTGAAGAACTGAGCAAGTTTCAGTGCTGCAGGAAGGGAGGGAGAAGTCTGTTGTCCCCGGAGGACTTTTCCTCAGCATGGCCAAACCATAACAGATACTGCCTTAGGCCACCAAGCAGCTGGTCTTAGCTACCCCTGGACTTGAAGCCCAA